GGGGTGCCAGTGATTACTCTTAGTATCAGCAGTCTCCTACATAATCGTGGATATGGTTCCTCATGCCTTTTTGGTACATAGTCTCTAATGTTGTAAGCAGGGGGTTTATTATTACAATGTTGTGTGTCAGACGTCCTTGCCAGGAGGTAATAGCAATTATGTGAGAGAAGACATATGTCATGCATTACCTTTTTTGTTGTGGACATATTTCTTAATTTTGTGTCCCCTCATTTCCCTATTCTTTTAGGATTTATTGCATATATATACATTGTTATGGGATTCCTGAAATCTTTTATTTATGCAATGCTGCTTCATGGATTAAGCAGGGGACTGACTTTCCTAGGGAGCAGAATTATTACCATGTTAAGTTTGGTCCTCACATTTTCTTCATTCCCCTCCCTTCTTTTATACTTACACTGTCAGGCCTTTGCTTCACACTGGATTTAACTTTTGACTCCATAATGGAACGTGTGAGGGGATAAGTGAGGTGAGGCTAGCATGAGGTTTTTGTGTGGATTAAGTGTCTCCATTATTGTAAGAATGACTTATTACACAGTTTCAGCTACATAATTATTTGAGTATATGAATTTGTGCACATCCATTCCAGTCTTTTGAATATGCACCAGGCTTTCACATTAGATTTCTGCAGATGCTCCTCAGTATAGAAAATCTTTTATGAAGAATATTGGGGTTACACATGGATTTATCTATGGGTGTCTAGTTCTCTAAGGAGGACAAGTTTGGAACACTTGAAGCTCAATAGATTGGCAGTGGATATATGTACTGTAGATTTTTTGTGAATTTTGTTACACTCAGGTGGCTTCACAAGTTCTCAGCCACCAAGGAGTCAATTAGTAGGACCAATTTACCTCACCTGATTTCCCCCTTTTTTAATCCTATTAATCATTATCATTATTTGTTTTCTGATTATTTTGATATCTTTAACAATATTATCTTGCAATGAAAGATAAATGTTTTTTAATAATCATCAAGATAAAGGGTAAACAAGTGAGATAGGTAGGATTAGTAATTGACTCTTTGGTGGCTAACTGCTTATGAACCATCTATGTGTGAATGAAATTAGTTAACTGAAATCACACTTGACATGGCACTTATGTCATGACTACTTGCATAGAGGGTCTATGCAGTGGCCCTAATTTCTTACTAAGATATTACATGTTTTTTGCTATTATACTGGTGTTTGAATATATTAGTTTTCAACATCTACGTTTTGCCTTCATATTCTTCAGTAAACTTTTCATGCTTTGTATTCTTATCTTCATGTAATCAAGATATTTTTGTTACTCTCTCTGAAAGTCCAGTACCATGCTGCTTTTGCACATGTTGATAATGTTTTGGCTTTAATGTAATTTTGTACAGGCATAAAACATATTCAACCTCCAATATTTATTTTGATATAAACCAAATGGACTCTTGCAAGTGAATATGTTTTTTTTTTCTTCAGGACTTTGTGCCCCCAGAGCAGCCTCCGAGCAGCCCACAGCCAGTTGAGTATTTCCCTTTCTTCGACAACACATACTTGGCAGTAGCAGCCTCTTTAAATGGTGGCAATGTCCTGGCAGCATTTGTGAGAACTGTACAGCAGTGGAGTCTTGAATTAGGTTTCCAAGTCCCACAATGTAAGTGAGGTTGCCTATTATGATAGAAGAAATGAGATGAAATATTATACTAGACACATAAATACCTTACATTTTGAAAAAGTGTAAATTAGATTATAACTGTTTTAAAAATGAGATTGACTCTTCATACCCTTTCTTTTATTTACAGCAAAGATTTGGCAGAGAATTCTGGCTCTTGGTGCAGAGCCTCAGAGTCAGTCTTCACTAGTAGTTGAACCTACAATATTTGGGGAACGTCATTCACCGCAAGAGAATGCTATGGTGTCTAATATAGATTTAGGAAACATATCACTAGGGAAAGTGACAAGAGGACTATGCAAAGGAGTAATCACAAATTTACACAGGTAAGTCACTAATTTATAGAGAATTTATTCACAGACACAATACAGGGACAGTGAAAATTCTGTAGATAATACCTATTTACTTTCATACTTTATGATTGTTTTCAGTCATACTGGTTTCTCTGCCCATGGCAGCAGTTTGGTCTTCAGATGCATATTCTGTTTCCTTCTCCAGTGACCCATCCTGCTCAGTACTTCATTTCTAACTTCTCCAGATTTAATTTTCTATCATCATCACCAAGTATTTCAAAGGGGACTCTGCATGCTAGAGGCCACCTTGGGATGTGACTGCCATAATTTAAACCTCAGTATAATGATAGACCTCCGTCCCCCCTTCTGTGGGGTTGCAGTTATTGATTTGGGGTGTCGCTGTTAAAGAAGTCAAGAACTTATTCAGGGAAATTTAATCTTTAATCTTTCATCATACCTGGAAGAGGCAGACACAGGTGCCAGACACTGAAAACTTTTAGCTGACATAACATGTAATTCCATTATAGGCTCCCCTACTCACAGCTACAA